GTTGCGAGTGAATCAACGATGGTAGCGCGCAAGGACAAGTCTGCGGTCGGGGGTGAAGCGGGGTCGTGCTCAAGGGGTCCGCTCCGAGGTTTGGGAGAAGGTATTGGGATCCGGCTGGAATAGCTAATGTTCGAATATGTCATAGTTTGGTGGGATGTGGTCAGAATTATACATGCTACACGATATATACGCCAAGTTACTTCATTCTCCTCCATTGCTCTCCTGTTACCATGCACCTCCTGCTGCTTCTTCTCCTACTCTTACCCTGTCTCTCCGTCGTTTCGATCCCCATGCCTACCACACTTACTCATCTCTACGGTCCTTCCTGACCTCGCTTCCTTCTCTTGCTCGCGGTCTTCGCGACTTCCATTTCGTACACACCACCACCATCAACACCCTCCAATTCACCATCCCACCGCGATGTATATCGTAGCCCGTAACGCGGAGAGTTACTCGGTTAGTTTAGATTCGCTCAAGCAAGTTTTGATGTCGTGCACGCCTATCCCGTGATCCTCTCCGACCACCTATCTCCTGGCCAACGAATATTCTTCGGAGATTCTGGTGCTTCCATGAGTCACTCACTAGCTAGGTTACTTACAGGTTTCTCTCTATCTAATTATCTATCTATTTATCTATTTATCTACGTATCTATTTCTGTTTCTCTTTCTCTCTATCTTATTCTGTCCCCCTCTTTCCCATTCGCTTTCTATCTTACTTTTTCTTGAGCCTCCGTCTTCTCCAAAGAACCGTCGAGTTCGCTATTACCGCCGACACATTACTAATGCCGAACTGGTCGTAATAGATTGGATGCCTAGAACTTGGATATGCCAACTAATGTAGCAGACTAACCCCCTTCGCTCGTCATTCTCCCCTCGTTCTTCATCCACCATCCTATAACGTTTCTGCGTATGTCGTACTTCGGCAAACGTAAGTAGAACGTGCCGTGCTAACTAAACTTTTTTGAAAAATGGTTGCTTCTTATAGTTCCTCATTTTAGTTCGTATGTACAGATTTATTGCAAAAAAGTAATCTTCTTTAAAATACATTTGTGTAAAATTTTTTTTGGAAATCTTACAAACTAAAATAGTATTAATACTTTAATAATTTATACAATATTATAATAACCATGCAATTATACAATATCATAATAGCCATGATCATAATAACTGAATAAAATTAGCTTTAATTAAGTAAAACGTAGGATTTGCTTCCCAGCGACGATAATCGCGGGAACAATCTCCTTTCGTGTCGAATAGACTTTTTATTTCTCATTAGAACCTCGCAAGATTTCTAGCGTCGTTGAGAATAAAATTCTTACAAACCTCGCCAGCAACCTGGCTGAAAGGAATTCGGAAGTAAGTCGGAGCAGAAGTTCGGCCAAAAGAAGAATTTCTTATGCGCAGCGGAATACCTATTCCGCATTGCGGTCCTAAGCGTGCAGCCGAGCGGTGCGATCGCTAAGGAAAGCGCGCCGGCATTTCGCTATGTAACGAGCGGAATTAACCCCCAAGTTTAAGCGCGATACAGCCGCCGACTTTACTTTACTTACCTACCCGTGTCCCACACCACTGAATTTTACCCCCTTCGCCACCGTTGCCGCTACTGTTTCCTCCCGTCTTCCGCAAGCCTCATACAGTACCGTCTCTGCGTCGCTCGTTAGCTCGAATTATACTTGCACGTGACTTTGCCAGAAACGCTATAACGAGCGCGATCGTGCGTGGCGAGTAATTCTCCGCCAGGGTTATTAATATGGTGCGCCTCGTTTCTCAATATGCAGCGTTTAATTTTCAACTGACCCGCGCATCAGAGAGTGCTAGATATTTCAACTGATGTGACCGTAGCGAACGGACCAATGTACAGGCCTTTGTGTAAACGACATTACGGTTGTATTGCTGCAACGCGAATAGCCCGCTGTTTACCTCATTGTATTCGATTACGATGCCGGAGGTAATTAGCTCCAGCGGTAATGGTAATCGATACCGATAGTATCAATTACCAACGCGTGGGTGAAACATTTGTCTTTCTTGCTGATAATGTATCGAAACGTCGATTGCCCGGGAACTTTACACCGTAATGTACCGGCTGTAAATAGCTTCCAAGTACGGAAGTAAGGAAGATGTAAATCCTCCCTTGGCTGTTTGTGGAAACTTATTGGCTGTCACGCTGATGTTTCTAATTTTCACTCACAGCTTTGAATGATGCATCGTTCGTTGATAGCTTCCGCTTCTTCCTTTGAATTATCAGTCTTTCTTCATTATGTGAAATATATAAGATAAATGTATCCTGAAATTATAATTTTACCATATTAATCCCATAAAATCGCTTTAAAATAATTTAATTATATAAAAGTTTGATAAAACCATAAAACTAGTGTAATGGTTCCAGAATAAGAATAATTATATATATCTTTAATTTAGATAATCAATTATTATTATTAATTTATAATTATTATTAGCGTAAAATACAATAAATATTAATATTAAATCAATTTAAATGATGTTTTCACATATATGCAATTACTTTTTATTTGCGTTTTTAGTATGAATTGATGCTGTAATGCATTCGCATATAATAGTATCATTACTTAACTAACTATAGCTATATAGGAAATACTGGCATCAAATGATGAACAAATAGCTTCTCAATTCCATTCTCTGATGTTCACAACGTGGACGCAGATGGTAAGGAGAGGACAGTAGGTATATATGATCTCGTAACTTTAGCTCGGCTTTACTCTCCACCTTGTTTATGGATATCATCGTTGTCTTGTTTGTGAATAATACAGTGTGCTTCCTAAACGAGAAGCCTGTACACGGGTTGGTTGACAATTGCACCAATCTCTTAACAAGAGCAATCGAGAATACAGCAACGGATGTTGATATCTTCTCTAGTTTAGAAACATATTCATGAAATGTGCGGAACATTAGCAACAGTAATCAATTACTACTTCAATAAGTGTTATTATGAAATGTTACTGTATCTTTGTTAAAGTTGAACAAATAAATTTCAAAAAAATTTGATTAAATATAACATAATATCGTAAAATGTTGCTTCATAAAAATAAAGCTTCTATTTAAGGATATCGATATACTAACATCTTTTATTTAGTTACGAACATAATAATAGTTACGTGATTAAACTTAAGTAATACGAAGGCGGTTTGAAAAGTCTGTGTAAAATCTAAAACATGGCACCACCAGTACATATCGAGATAAAAAAGAATTTCGTGTAGTGTGATCACAAAATTGTTCGATTTACGCTACGAAGTCCTTTCGAAGTCCTACCTATTCTCCAAATTTGGACTTCGTAGCGTAAATCGAACAATTTTGTGATCACACTACACAAAATTCTTTCTTATTCATTTTTCGCAAATCACGGTACTTGATTGATTCAAATAAACGCCAAACACAAAGTAGTGGATCTATCTCACTGAAATTTGGTGTGTGATCCTCCAAGAGTTGCCGGATACTAAAAATAATCTCGATACGTACTGGTAGTGTCATATTTTAGACTTTGCACGAACTTTTCAAACCGCCCTCGTATTTTATCTTGCTATTAATATTTCTATTCGACTTTAAGTTAAAACGACATTACGCCTTAGATGAAAGAAACGATTTATGATATAGTACCGCCTTCACTCTTTCGGAACAACGCGTTCAAAAAGAAGGATAGAAGCGTGTTTACTGGCGTTACGCTCTTTGTACTCGATGGCTGGTGATGTAACGGTTGACAATCTGTGCTAACGTTTTGACAGAGAATGTGTCGAAGTTATGAATGGTAGAAGCCAATCTCTCTGCGGGTGGATGGGTATTGTACCGCGCGTCGTGTCTGCGATGTTTTGTCTCCTCAGTTGCCCTCGAAAATCTTTCAGCCCCATTCTTCGGTCAACTCACACAGCGATAGAAATCTGACAAAATGATATTTCGTCTACCGCAGAGAAAGCTACCAAATATAAACAAAATTCATCGAAATAATATAAAAAAGAAGATCCATCGAAGTAATATAAAAAAATATGCTGTGTAAGAAGTGTTGTAAAGAATTTTAGTATGGGAGAAATTTTTAAGATACAATAAAGTAAAATAAGATAGTGACATGAGATTAGAATGGAGCTAAAGATTCTAAATTAACTTTTTACAAATTAACATTTTAACAACCAAGCAAGACTGATGCCATTTGTCGTCAATTTGATGTTAAATGATGTTTTTAACGACAAATAACATCAGCATGTTTGTTGGGAAATACTTTTAGTATTATATTTAGAAAAGAAGGCGTAGTTTAAGATACATAAAGTCTTTTCGGAACAGCTTTTATCACTCTATGCGTGGGACATATAAGTAGTAATATAAAACAAGAAAATAGAAGAAAAAGAGCACAGAGGACGAATGAATTTCCAGAAGCACTACTTCTTCCGAGCATAGGAAGATACGTCAGCTATGAATATCGACGAGAAGCAGATACGAGTCGCAGAAACGGAAATCAGTTGGGAGTACCAAGTTACGATTGAGATTTAAGTTATTGACAAGCTACTTTGGCGAACCTCCACTGAGATCTGGCTGGTTTATCCCGGAGGCCCACTGCCTTTTGATTTCCCTCAGGACCCAACCCTTGAGATTCTATTCTTCTGCCCACAATGAGGCCCTGCTTTCATACTACTTCATCTTCATTGCGAACATGTCTTTCTTTTGTTGGTTCGCATATGACAACATATCATACACACGTAAGTCAGTAAACTTTTAAGTTTCATAATTTCACTTTTACAAAAATAAAATATTACATTGATGTTAAAATATTAATTAAGAAAAGATCACCTTTGACAAAGATAACGTCATTTATTTATATTTATTGTGGATTTTTCATGTGGTACACAAAGATCGTGCGGTATACACACAACAATTGTGTGTGCGTGAAATAGAAAACATTTTATATTAACAGATTACGAATTGAAACTAGTTGATTTAATGACTATATTTATAATATAAAGATATAAAGACTATAAGAGA